TACTGCTACTGAACCCAATCGGCGACCACCATTGAAATAAATGTATTTTTAATTTTTAATAGACTAAATTATTTCTGCTTTTCTAATATCGTAATATTTCAACGATAATCATTACATTTATTTTTATTTTTCAGAAATAATTTTTAAAGTATGTTTTTTTATTCAATTTATTTGTGTTGTTATTATTAATTTTTTTTATAGGCACAAGTATCAGTAAGTAGCAGATAAAATGTTATCATTAAGATCATTTTCTTATTACTGCACAGGATAAACTAGTTTTTTAGGATTCAATATTACTATTATTTGGTGTTGACATTAGTAGGAAATAGAATAGAAATAATATTTAATTTTTTTTTCCCTTTACATTTTCTGGCATAAATTGATAACAATTCATTTTATCAAATATATTCCGTTTGCAAAATGTAATGTTTCAAATAATAAATATAAATTAATTATTTATTTTGACATAATAAAAGATTGAGAAAAAATTATTATAAAAATCAAATATAATGTATGGGAACATTTTGAAGTCTGGTTTATCCTGTCTGTATTTTCTTATTCACATACACAGTTTAGTAGTTCAAAATATTATTGAAAATATAATTTAACCTTATGTATTTTTATGGGTCTGTGAATTTATTAAACAAATTGATAAAAATTATACAATCTTGTAATTTTAATTTCCTCCTCTTCCTCCTCCTCATCCTCTTAAAAAAATTAAATAATTTTGTTATACAGCATTGATAATCACATCAACTATCACTGTATCACTATTCAGCATTTGCCACATAACATATCCAGTCAAAATAATTTTATCTTTATGTTGTAGTTTTAAGTTTGAATAGAATGTGTTTACCTTCAATAGCTTTGTTAAATGGAATTCTTCTGTAAATTTAAATGAGAGTTATGTATCTGATTGATATTAAACATGTATTGACTAATATAAAATGTATAAGATAATAAGGGCAATACAGCTATTAAAAATAAAATAAAAACATTTTTTGTTAAATTTGATTTTTTTTAATTACCCCAATTCTACCTTTCTATGTACTTCCCTATTTAAAACGATGGTATTATATGTCTAATTTATTAAAATTTTTATGATTAGATAAAGAAGAATAGATGGATAAATAATATACTTGACCTGTGAAAGAATATGAAACCAACCGTTCTAAATGTTGAATGTCCAATATATGGCCTAATTTTCATATCGTTTTGTCCGTTGAGTATCGAGTGATAATACACAATTCGTCCTTATATGTCGCATGTAGTCTTTTTGTATAGAATACAGACTTATGACCCTTTGGGTATGCCTATTTAAATAAATTTTAAAACATTTAATAATATAATCCTATTTTCACCAAACGTATAAACTACGTGCAATTAAAGTTAAATATTTGTTTAGACAATGACGACTATAGTTATAGTAGGTATGTATAATTGTATAGGTATTAAGTTTTCGTTATTTTGACGGACTTGAAAAACCACTTAATTTCCAAACGGTAAAGATATACCATAAATTGTAATAGAGTTATCATCTTACAAGTATAATGATTATTTATCCAATGTTTCGTTTATAGTTTACATGAAAATTCGAGTACATCAAATTAAGGAATTATTACTTAACGCTATATTTTTTAACTAAAACATACCTATCAAAATGAAATAAGAGTTTTTATTAATTCGTGGTTAATAATTGATATTTTTACTTAGAATTTGGATTAAGATAGGGATTACTAACATACTCATACCATACTATAAATTCAGTGATTAATTTTGCATGAACAATAGGTCATAATTACAAAATATCTAAAAAAAAAACTTGCGTTGTTCATACATTTTTAAAACTCTTTGGTTATATTTTTACAGTAAATACTATTTTTTAGAAAATATGTAATAAATTTTAAATTTTTTAGTTGTAATAATTAAATGTTTTGTATATTTTTGGTCACAAAATAACTCACAAATTGTGATTTTGATGAATTTTGTCAAATTTTGAATTTTAAATGCTTAATTAAATTTTGAAGTTTTTTGAATTTACAAAACATAAAAATAAATATTATTAACATTTATAGAAAAAAATAAAATAATAAGACAATTATACTATGTATATTGCATAGGAAATTATAAAAACATTTTATGAAATTTTCATGTATCTACGGTTGTTGGTTTTTGAGTAATACCAGAAAAACAAAATTGATATTGCCGATTACTGGGTTTGAAAATTTCCTTTTTTCTGTCTTTCCCAGTTATTTTAAAAGGACTAGAAATTTCTGCTTTTTGGTCTACTTCCAAAAGTACCGATTAGATTCAATTTACTACCAGAATTCTGAACTTGTCATTAAAATTATAAATCAAAGCATTTCATAGCCCTAAAAACTAGATTAGCAAAAAAAAAAAAAAAAAATGTAGAAAATAAAAATAAATCAAAAATAACCCAATAATGAAAAATTAAAAAAGGTGGACAAGTGGGTACCACTGCTGTACCTTAGTTATTGAATGGGTCACTAAGGGTATTGGGTATGTTAAATTTCAATTTAATGATGTATTGATGTATGCATAATTTTATACGAAAATCGATTCTAAACGAAAATGGTGTATCAGTCTATACGCCTTATACCAGTTATACTAGTTATACGTTATACCCCAAGTATATTTCATAAAATTTTTTGATATAGTTACTACATTTATTTTATTTTTAGTACTACAGTAGTCGGTAGGTTAATATTTTTTTTCTGAAAATATTGCATGAATAATATTACTAATATTTAATTTTTAATAAATATTTATTTATATTTTATACTATTTCATATTATTATATTAATTTATATAGCTCATAATTTAATAACATATCTCTTTATGAATACTTTATAACAGTAAAAATAGATTCATTGTATTATCTTATCTTAAAATAAATTAAAAATATCTTTATATATGGTAAAATTCATGATAATTGATAACATAATAAAAGTACAAGTCTTATGTTCCTCGAATACGTGAATAATATTAATTGTAAATAATAACAATAACAAATAACTTACTTAGTACCTGTTCGCTGTTCTACCTATTGTGTGCACGCGTAATTTTTGCTACGTTTGCATTTAACTACTCTAAAACAGTTAAGTTTAAATTAAATTTTTAACTTGTCGATTCCAAAATAAAATTTATTTTTTTAATAAATCTTTATTAGCACGTGTAGAATAAATTAAAAAATAATAATAAGTATATAGGACTCGGAACTTGATGATCTAAAAATCTTTATAAAAATACACCCAAAAAAGTATTAAAATAACTTATAAGTTATAAATAGGGACCGGATTTATATACACAAAAAATCCTCAAAATATGCTTCTAATAATGCTGTAATATGTTATGAAATATGTATTTATTTTTAAATATGTACTTAAATATGCATTTAAAGTTTTGTTTAAACCTATGTAAAGATATGTATTATGTAAAATTATGTAACAATATTTATTAATTAATATGGTATTAAAAAAGTATAAAAAAAGCTTATAAAGTATTTTGTCGTCTTCGTTGCCATTTAACATTCTGCATCTTCAATCTATAAAGTATTAACTCACATTAATAAAAACTGAAACAAAAATTGATTTCATATTTTACCTTATTGCATTGGATGATCAGAAGTTCCTTAATGTGTTCAAACGTTAAATTCCTCCTATCTGTAAGTATATACGTATAGGTTTTCTTACTTTTCGCTATTAGTGTTTTCACTGTTTTATTTTCGCGGTTTTCACATAGACTTTTTGGAAATAACGACCGGTGTCAATTTTATTGATATTATGTGGCTGTGAACGTGAAAATACGACGAAAAACGAATATATGTGTTATAAATAATAATATACACTTTAAAACTACAAATATGCATTCAATATGCATTTAATAGGTAAAAACGTTGAAATATGCAAAATAAAATTAGTGTTATTTCAATAAGAGTGATCTAAATGGGGGACAATTTTCATCAGATTTCAAAAAGCTTATCCCAATACAAATATACATTTGCATATAAATCCGGTCCCTAGTTATAAACATCAAAACATGACTTAAAAATACCATAAAATAACATAACATTTTCAAAAATTACGTTTTTAATAGGTAATAAATCATCAAAAAATCATCGTTTTTAGATTAATATTTAAAATAATTTATTTATTATTTTATTTATTTGAAGTCGAACAATGTTAATATTTTTATACATTAAATATATTTTTTTTACAGATCATATGGCATGTACATGAAATTAGCCCCCTCCCTTTGTTCGATTGATTTCAAAATACCACCAAATAATTGCAATTAGGGAAACAGGATTTGCAATTATTTGATGATTAGAAAAATAATTAAAGGATTGGGCTGCACCTATGATACATAAGTTTTTCAAATAATAAGCTTTGTTAAAATAATATAAAAGAAAAATGTAAAAATGCAAAAAATGCAAAATAAAAATGGTTTCATTGAATTTTACATAACATAAGTCACATTTCAGTAAAAATAAGCCTCGTTTAAACGCATTAGAAAAAAGATACAAATGCATTAGGTTCCGTTCCCTAATAATTAATATCATTATTTATGGATTTTGAACTTAAAGATGTACAAGATGTTGCGAAAATACATTGAAAAAAACAAATATTGCTCACGAAATATAGATTACTATGACTATCACAATAATTTAAGATATACATATATATAAGTATATCTTAAACCGTGATGACTATTTTGCCGATTACCATAAATAGCTCTCGAATTTTTGTTTTTCTAATGTTGGTATACGCTATAAAGTTGACAATTCTGTTGTTATGATAAGGTGATAACAGTTATTTATTTGAAAAAGTAAAATTAATATTTATTACTGTGAAGAGTGTGAAGTAAATTTCGCCGAGCAACGATTATTTTACTCGTTATTGTATTCTGTAATCTAGGATTAATCGTAAAGAATTAATGGGACACATGTTAATTTTCTGATAGTTGGAATAAAAACGAAAATGGAGCAAGTACAACAGATATTGCAAGAACTTGAAATGGCTGGCAGTATAATGCTTGTGAGCTATGCTTCTTATAATAAATTACTTAGTTTGTTTAAAGTCAGTTAAAAAAATATATTGATATTACTGTGTTTACAGGCGTCACCTTCACTCGTGACTAATGACCAGCGTAGTGCTGCTGAAGCAGTATTTATGAATTTTCGCAAGACCAACATGCCTTATTCAATCTGTCGATATATTCTTGGTAAAGTTATGTTTAAATTCATTAATAATATGTCTATGATTTTTTCCATGGATATATTATCTTGTTTAATAAATATTTTTAAAATAAGTGTAATTATTAATACCTTATATTACCAGTTAGTACTATAATATAATTTAAACCATGCAGTGCCTTATAAATAGATTGTTTGACTTAAAATTTAATTGGATTAAAATGTTTCATGAGAAAAACATTTTTTAGACTTTTTATACTTACTAAATTTTAATGTTTTAATGTATTAGTTATTTATTTATGTATAATATATGTATATATTTTGTAGATTGCAGTAAAGTAGATTTTGTTTTATTTGAGACTGCGGGGACATTAAGAGATGCACTTATACGAGATTGGATTTTGTTATCACAAGATCAAAAGAATGAACTTAGACAATATTTATTTCAATTTATTATGCGTGATGGTAACATTGCTCCATTCGTTAGAGAACGAATTTTACAGGTAATAAATGTAATATAAAGTAATATAATTATTATACCATTTGCTTTTATAATCTACATTGATTTTTACTTTTTTATACTTTACTTATCACATTTAATGTTGAAAAATATCAATTTGAAAATGTATTAACTGTTTGGGGAGTAAAACATTGGTATAACATTTGAATTTAGGTTAAAATGTAATATTGTATGTATAATTAATATTTTACAAACGTCTCACTTGGGCTCATCATACTAAATTTAAACATAAACAGAAAAATTCTCATCTTTATCTCCTAAAAACACTCCTCAAATTCAAAATGTGTCTCAAGTATAAAACTAATTTGTAAAGCCACGATTAGACCAATCTCGTCTTATGTCATTAAAATTTGGGATTCTACCAAACCTTCTAACATACACCTACTTCAAGTTTTTCAATTTATTTGCTTTTAAATTCTAATAGGAGCCCCTGGTTTATTACAAACAAATCTCTTCATAAAGACATCCTAATTCCCACTGTCTTGGGACTTGCCAAAGTTTATTATAAAAGATTTCATGCTAAATTATTGAACAATCTCAACCCCCTTTTCAAAAGTATGGTTTCCTTTTTTCTTCCTGGTAATTTTCAATGATGTCTAAGACGTAACTGGCGAAGAGAACTACTTTAGTTAAAATTAAAAAAAAAAAAAAACAAACAATTTAAGTTAAAATTTTGAGGTGTTAGTGAATGGCTTCCTTCTCAAATTTAGGATAAGTATTAAATTTTAATTTAAAAATATTATAACTATGTATTTTATTTAAAATGTAATGCTTGAATTACATATTTTAAGTGTTTGTGCGTATCATATCAATTTAAATCTCTAAAATCCACTGCATGCCTCTGTCTTGTTAATTCAAATTAAAGTAATTTTTATATGTAAGTTCTTGTATATTTTATAAAGTTATTGTTGCTAAAAAACTAAAACCTAAGTCAGTCACCATAATATAAAATTAAAAAAAAAAAAAAAAAAATTGGTATGCAGTAAATGTATAAAAAGAGTGTCATAGCTGCTTGTATTATTTCCTTACAAACGTGTAACATAGAACATTTTGTTTTGTTAATTTCAATATTGGAGTGATTTTAATGAACTTATTATCAAACCTAAAGGTTTATATTATTTGTATTTTACATTCATTTTTTAAAAATTTTTTAAACGTGTTATGAGCATTTTTAAATGGCAATATTTTATATATTCATAACTTGTAAAAAATTTAAACATTGTAAGAAACTAGCTCAATTACAGAGATAATGTTATTACATTTAAGTTTGATAGTATATTAAATTACTTAAATATTGAAACTAATATAAAATTCAAAATTTGTTTTAATAAAAATAAATACTTAGTAAAAATATTGTACATTTGTTAAATGTAAATAGTTCTACATTCTATCCTCTTAGTATTAGTATGTATTTGACATAAAATTAAAATTTGAGGAACATATGTAAGTACTCGATTGTACTATAGTTAATGTTTACCAGGTTTTATATTTAAGAATTTTTTTTTACATGTAATAGGTCATTGCAATTATGATTAAAAGAGGAAGTGTTGAAGATGGTGGTGAAGAAAGAAGTAATATTTTAGATGAAGTTGAAAAGTTAATTTTCAATGGTGATCTAAAGAAGGTATAATTTAAAGTTTTTTAAATCTATTATCTATCTATTATATATAAATATATCTTTAAAAAAAAGAATGTATTATAGTAATTATGTTAATACATAATAATATTATAATATATTATCTTATTTTTACTTTTTTTTGACTTCTGATTACAGTAATTTAAAAAATGTTTTGAGCTAAATAATTATATATATATAAAAGAAAAAAAACCAAAGAAAATGAATCATTTGTATAATTTTATTATATAAACAAAATTAATTAGTTAAATAATATTTTGTCTCTTTTATATATTAATATATTAACATAATATTATGTATATTGTTAATACATAATTCTAAAAAGGATAAAGGTAAAATATTTTGAACATATGGCGTTTAAATATGATTCTTGTTTTTTTATTAAATAAATAACTTAATATTAAACTGAAATATTTTTTTACAGAACTTTGATTCATAATGTTTTTTTATTTTGTTCTTAAAAATTGACTGATTGAAATTTTAATAATTAGTGTGAAATAACATGGATATTTGTAAAATTATTAAAGATTTTAAAAATGTGTTAAATATGTGCTTATATTAAAACTTTAACTCATTCAATTAATTAAAAAAAAAAAATGTATAATTCAAATTCATAGTTAAAAGAGACATGTATATTAAAAATATTTTGTTTTACTGTGCATACCGCAATAAAAGATAGAAAATTAGTTTAATATTAAGTCTTTTATGCTTTAAAAAAATAATTTAAATTGAATATCACATATTTGATGTATTTTGTATTATCTTTATTTTTGAACACATTGTATTCATGTTTATGTATGTATTTATTTATATTCCATTTATAGCAAATTTTGGGTTGCTCTATAATTTTGGCATTAATGCAAGAATACTCTACTACAGTTAAATCTACTGATGTGGGGCTAACTTGGGAATCTCATTATTCTGCAAAAAAAGAATTTGAGGTAAAAGCTAATGACTTATTAAATTGATTATTTATTTAAACTATTAGTTGAACTTATTACATTGCTTTATTAATTCATATTTATGTTTTAGGCCAGAGATTTAAGACGTATTTTTATATTCAGTACTCGTGCATTACATGAAATACAAAATCTTCCTCAACCATTATCACCTGATATTTTGACCGTTCTTAAACACTTATTGAATATATGTGAATCCATTTTAGTTTGGGGATTTATTTCTTCTAATAATATCCTTTTATAAATTAGTCTATTACATAGCTTAAGTATTTTAGTTTTTAATTATACAAAAATTATTTTTTCAATTTCCACTCTTGAAAGTAAAATCTTAATTTGATTTAGATTTCTTAAAATTATTTGAACACTAAATTTATTTGTCGGGGTAAAGTAAGTTAAAGTTAAATTATTCAAAGTCACAAAAAATGTTTATAATCTGTCATTCTTTAAAAAAAAAAATTGTTTAGAATAATGATAAAATCTATTCTAAATCTTCTTCTTGGTAAGTGTTTGTTAAAGAATAATTGTTTATTTTAATTTTATAGGTATAGTATGTAGTATGTACAGTTTACAATTTGGTATTGTAAAGTAAAATTTGAAAAACATTTTAAATATTCATAATTTTTCTAAATTTAAAGTATACTTTGGTTATCAACACAAATATTTATAATTTTCCTTAATTAATAAATACTGCCCAAATATTTGATTGGAATGTTCGAGGGAATATATAATTCTGAAAATAGCCCTATTTTAAAGCTCGGATCAGACTGGAAAGATATCATAACAAATCCTAGTACTGTTGATTTATATTTTCATGTAAGTAACATAGATATTAATTATTTATAGGTGTAACAAAAGTAGCTGATAAATGTAACTAACTATGTAATAACATTTGTTTCTATTAATATTTTTGTACATAATTAAGAATCTATGTACAATATCTAAATTAAAATTAAAATTATCAACAAAATTCATAAGTTATTACTTATATAATTACTTGATTAATTACATTTGTCACTTTTTTCTATTATGCTATTTTTATTATGTATACCTATTTACAAGTATTTTATAACTTTTTTCTATCTATTTATCATTTAAAATATTAGATTTATTGGATGGTAAGAGATAATCCTCAATTTTCACATCATTCTTTGAATTGTCTTGTACAATTATCTTCAATTAATGGTAATATATGGACTGATACAAGTGTACGAATGAAATATATGGAAAATTATTTAGAAAATTTTATTAAACTAGTATCTACGTAAGTAAAAATTTATATGATCTTATTCTTTTTTTTTTTCTTACATTATTTTGATGTATTACTTTAATTCTAGGGTAAAAATTTTAGATCGTGAATCAATAGGAATTTCTACCATTATAAAAAGAATAATAAATGGATATTCTCCTTTAGGATTTCTTCAATTTCCTCCAGATCTTGTAAAAAAATTTTTGGAAAATACAACTCATCTTACATGCCAGTTTGCTGAAGGCGCTGCTACTGAAGAAAATGTAATTTTTATAATACTATATTGATAAACCAATTAATTATTATTATTATGATTATTATTATCTAGTTATCTCAAGATGATCAAATGTTTTTTGAAGCATTCAATAATATTTTACGACCCTGGGTATCTATTATTGCAAATAGCAATCAATCTTTTCCAGAACAATTATGTAAGAACGCATCCATACAAATTTTAAATACGTACATAAAATGTCACATTTCACCACCAAATGGTACAAAAACTTTTGATAATGAATTTAATGAAAATGAAGAGGATGATCGAGTTGTCAACAAAGAACAACTCCAATATATAGGAATATTTGGAAGACTTGTAAGTATGCAGTATTTTAGAAGTATTCAACAAATTCATTTTTTTAGTCAAATCTGGTAAAACTTCAGTTCAGTATATTGGCTTATTAAACAACATAAAATAATATCATTGATAATGTTTTTTGGGGGTAATTGTGACAAAAGAAAATTCATAATAATAAATTATTATTAAAATATGATACTTGAAAAATATCTTTTTCTTATTGTGTCCATTGTTAAGGCTACATGGCATATGCTATTAAATTAATAAATACATAAAGTAATCTAAAAATAAAGTAGGTTAAAATATAGAATACAGAATATGTGTTTTGACATTTTGTTTTAGCCATTGATATTGCCTTTTTGTTAGTTTGTCGGTCATGCATCCTGGGCTAAAGCGCACTGTAATAAGTGGTCATCTGATTGGTCTATGCCCTATTCATATATGATGTCGGTTCTTTCTAATATCCCCATTTCATCATGTTCGTTTTTATTTTAGCTACTCCTGCTCTTAACCTATTTAATGTCTTCCATATAATCCATGGATGATTTCCTCCACGTGGTAAATGCTTAGCAAGCGAAACAAATTTTTCACATTGTAGCTCTTTTCTCCATTTTCATATTCTCTGTTGTTCCAATGGATTTTGAATAGTGGTTGAATTTTTAATAAAGCTTCTTAGAGATTTAAGTCTCTTTTGGGGTCCTGAGTAACCACGCATGGGGTGTCTTTGGTCCATTACTTGTTTGGTTCTATGTTTGTGGCCATCATAAGCGTCAGGTGATCAAATTTTTTGGGGGCTAAGCCCCTTAAGCCCTCCTAACTGAGTCAGACTCACTGGCCATATATTTTCGTATTCTTAGTGGAGCTATCCTTGCTAATATATATTTAAATGCTGTTGGTTTAAGATATCCAGTTATCACCTTACAGGTCTCTTTATTAAGAGCCATGTCAACATGTTTTGTATGGTTAGATTGATTCTATACTGGGCTAGCATATTCACCAGCATAGAAGTAAAGTGGTAGTTCAGTAGTATGGATTGTGTTTTGAGTGGCATCTCGCTTGCTACCTGCTAGTTTCCGTATTAGGTTGTTTCTTGCTTCAACTTGCATTTTAGTTTTCTTACACTGCTCTTTAAATATGAGAGAGTTCTGTCCAGTGTAACCCCTGGGTAAACTAGATTTTCTGTATTTCCCAATAGTTTTCCAAGCCATTCAACTTTTAGTTCTCTTTTTGCCTCGTGGTTTTGAAGATAGAAACTGCATAACTGTGTATTATCTGGATTGGGTCTTAGTTGGTTTTTTTATGTAATAATTAGTTAATTCTTGAAGTAATCTGATAAGTTTACATTAGACTGTTTGGAAGGTTATGTCTTACACTGCTAGGGCTAAGTCTCACACACTATATCATGACTTCAATTTACCAACAATATCTACACTATAACAAATCTCCTAAAAATACCTTTAACCACACTAACCTCCCATATTTAAACACTCTACTTATTTAATACCTGACAACCCCCTCCGTTGTTTCAAATGTAAATGACCATATGATTTACTAAATAATATTTAGTACTTACACTATTTAGTATTCATAACAACTCCCCCCGCCCATGTTCATAAATTGAAAGTAATGTCGATGGATGCATACTTCCCTTACACTTGCTGTGTGTCTAATACATATGTCATCTTATTTATTCATTGTATTGTTGTGTGAATACAGATTGTAAATGTCTTTATAATAATAAAAAAAAATTAATATACTATTATATACTTATTAATATGTTTATAGATTAATGTAAATGTGATTGTAATTTAAATATATTCTATATATTTTATTTTAGATTCCAGAACATTCTTTACCTCTACTAGTAACTTTAATAGAAGGTCAAATTAAAGAAATGAGAACAATAATTGAACATGTGCACAGTAGAGGAAGTTGTCAGTGGCCAGAGTCTTTTCAGCAAAAAATTGATGCTGTTAATGAAGATATTCATTGGTTGTTTCTCATAGCAGGTAATTTATTATTAAGTTTGATTAATGTAATCAAATCATAAATTATTTTAAATGACCTTTCAGGACATATACTCACAGTGGATAGTGAGGGTGAACCTAGTATGATTCCTTCAGAAATAATGCATCATAGTATAGAACAGAGTAAAAATGTTAATATAAATTTAACATTGAAGTTTCTTACTAATCAAATGTTAGTTATGGATGTACCTGGCTCAGCAGAAGCTGTAGATGATGTTATCAAGTAATTTAATTAAAACAATTTGTTTATTTATTTAATAATAAAAAAAAATTAAAAAATTTATGCTAATGTATGTTTTTTTTTAGACTGGTATCTATTGCATTTCATCTATGTGAATTAGAAAAAAAGTTAATAGAAGCTAAAATGGAAAGTCTTTGTAGCCCATTGTTAAGTGGTACTATAGTATGGTTTTTGCGTGAATTTTCTCAAGCATACTTGATGCCAAATGAGACTTATTACAATGATGTAACTTTAATGAATTATTAAATATGTTTCATTAATATCTTTTATATCTTGTTTTATATTAATAATAAAATATAAATTTTAGCTTAGTATGACATTATTGCAAGCATTTGGTCAACATACAGAAGCTGCTAATTGGGTTTTAAATTACTTGCTAAATAAAGTTGAACATAATATCAAATCACCTCTGTATGCTGATGTGAGTCTTATTGGAGATACAATTGGATTATTAATATCTATGGTAGATATTAGACACAAGTATGTCTCATAATTTGTAGTTGCTTTAATTTGTTTGGTTATGGTTAATATGAATGATATTTTAGTTAACGATAAAATATTGAATTATTCATAATCTTAATAATAATTGTTATAAATTAATATATTATACAACATCAGTTAATACATATATTTATTAATATATTAGATAAATAATTGTTAATATTAAATAAAGTGTGAGTAGTGAAATTACATAGTATCACTTACTGTATGAAGTAATAACTGAACACTTAATAAAATTAATTTGTGATAGTGACTTTTACATAAATATATTATTTATTTGGCTGTTGTATTCAGCAGATGAGATAATAGTTGTACATTTTAAATATTTTAAATTTACTATAGAATCAATATTTTCAGTAACATTTAATAAATTGGTGACTTATATTAATTTTATTTCAATTAAAAAAAATTAAATAAAACATTCTTTTTTAGAGCTGAAATTGTAATCAATTGTGAAGGGTTTTGGAAATTATTTGAACTTCAAAAGCAAGAAGACCAATTAGCTCCAGAAGTAAAAGAAGGATTGTATAAAGCATTTTCTTTAGCTGCAGATGCCTTTATTGCAAATGATAAACAAAAAGATTATTGTAATCGTGTAAGTAGATTTTATTTTATGCTAAAGAAAAATTGCCGACTCAAAAATTACATATGTAGTTTTAAACACTGTTTATTTATAGAGAGTTGTATAACATATCAATTTATTATTAAGTATAAATTATAATAAGTAAACATTAAAAATTATATAATTTTCTTTACAATTAAAAACTTATAAATTTAATTAATTTTGTTCATCAGACTTTTATGAAAGGTACTGGATATTTTTGTAGGTTAAACTTTTTTCAGTTATGATTGGACTATATTTTGTGTACATTATGCAACTTAATTTGAGATATTTTGTTTAGGACATTTTTAAATGGACATTATTTGTAGGAAGCAAAGGAATGGGTGGGTTGTAAATGCTTATCCTTGGTATTATGTCATTTGTTTTTTAGATTACTTTGATATTAATATTAAATAATACAATAATAATGTGTTTTTTTAACTAGGTGATAACTCCAACACTAGATAAATTCAAGAAGCTATTAAGTAATGACAATTTTAGAAAAATTTATGATAATGATGTTGTAAGATTAGAAATTATGGATATACTGAACAATTGTATTGGTATGGCCAGTGGAGCAGTTATTAATACCACACCAACTATTTTTGCTGTTTTACATCCAATGCTAAATGAGTTTTCATCTTTAATTGGACTATATCATAACTATCAAGTTATTGTTCACCTAATCATTCAACTTTTTGTTGAATTTGCCAAGAAAATGTTGTGTTTTCTTAGAGTGGTAAGAATAAAATGTTAACAATTGTATTTAATACTATAAGAGCAACCTTAGCATACATATAAATAATGGTTTTAAAATTATAAATAGATCTATTTGTGCAAATTAAACTGAAAAGTGGTTATTTATGAACCAAAGCTTAATAACTATAATCTGCTCAGGTATAATTATTTTTGATTTTTAAAAATAATTGTTCAGAATTAATTAATTTAAAAAAAAACAAAGTATCTAAACTACATGTAGATACATAGGTACATGTATATGTCTTGTTTCTATTGAATACAGTTGACATAAGAATGAAAAAGTTATTTTTATCGTCAACATGATTATACAACAGGCTATACCTAATGTTATTACTAGATCACATGTCACCGTGATTCTGATAACGTTTTATATAATCGCTAATTTCCAGTGACCGTCCTCACCAGTCAACCTACACACATTACATAAAACACTCATGACGTCATGATAACATTCTCAGTGTCGCAAAAATTAACAGAATAACCCCCAGTCATAAGATATATATATGTCAATATTTTAAATAGCATGCTGTGTGCATATTTTAATATTATTATTATTATAATAATATATATATATTTTTTTATAGGAAGAAAGTGATAAGTTTTACATGTCTTGTTATCAAATGGTGGATATGTATGCTCGCTACAATATTAATCGTATTTCTTTAGATTCTGATGCTGAAGATCAATGTTATCAAGATCTTTATGTATTTTTAGAACTTCTAACCCATGTTATGTCAAAAGAGGTTTTAGATCTTAGCTCTGATGGTAATGAATTTTAAAAATATTATTTAATTATGTTAATTTAATATTTTAACTTATTCATAATCATACTTGATTGTAAAAATAGGAAAAACTACTACCGGAAAGACAGCTGGGGATGTTTGTGTATACGGGCTTCAAGTAATTTTACCGTTGATGACCATAGATCTCTTAAAATTTCCTGCACTTTGCTTTCAATACTATAAAGTAAGCAATTCTTTTTAAAAATGTTTAATGTTTTAAACAATGTAAAAATTACACTGAATTATGTTAAACACATATTCTACCCAGCTTAAAAATATTGTATGTGCTTCATTTTTTTTTTTTTTAAATATGTGATTATGTAATTATTTTTAAATGCAGTTAACAAAAGATTAGGTATTTTTTTTAGTTTAAAATAATTCCATATTATTTGCTTTTTTGTTTTTTATTTATGCATTAAGGCTTATAGTATACTTATTTTTTTCAAGTCATTGTTAAAGATATTGTAATTGATTTAATATATAATTTCAATTTTATTAATATTGAAAAAATAGGTATTTTTGAATAGCTCAAATGTTAGGTTTGGTTTGATTTTTATTTCATGTTAATTAAATACAATTTTTTTACTGAATAATTTAATTTTATGTATTTAGCTTATAAATTTTTACTGTTCTCCAACTTATGGTTCATTATTATTCATAAAATAAACATAATTTCAACTGGTTTAAGTTAGTAATTGTATTATGAAATCTAACTGAAATAAATCATGTTTTTATTTAAACTCCATAGTTATTTAAAATATAACTCAATATATTAAATTAGAATTTTAAAACATAAACAATAAAGTTAATGCGCATGCTTATATTTCATTCAATTTTGTTTTCTGCTATTATTTATATATAGTATTATGTATAACCGTTTGATTAATTGTATGTAATAATGGTCAATAGATTAATAAATAGTAACCATTACCTATATAATTATTTTTTAGTATGCTGGATATATGTGTGAAATGGTTCCATTGAAATTATGCATTGAAAATGTTGATATTTTTAAAGGAGTTTTGACTACAATTGAATTAGGTTTGACTATGTTTGGCCATGAAATTACTCCAATGTGCACAGATTTTTTACAATCAGCTGCTTCGTTTATGTATAGACATGAAAACTGTACTGTGCATGAAGCATATAATTTGCTAAAGCCATTTTTAAATGTAAGATATATTGTCATCTGTTTATAACATTTATTTTATTATGTTTTATTAATGATTTATTTTATAGTTTTTGATGAAACTTATATTATCTTGTCAAATAAATTCGGATGCACTCTCAAGTACTGGTCACGCACTTTATACATTAATATGTTGTTATCCGGTAAGAATACTGATTATTTTATAGTTTACATCAACATTACTCATTGATTAGTATACTTATTAAGGAGATGTCATACCTGAAAGAATTGTTTCTGTCTTACTAATGCAACTAATGCATAATATATCAACATGTATGCCCAGCAGTTTCAGTTTTGTGTGTTTAATTTAAATATTTATAAGAATTGACCTATCAAACTTAAATTTAAGAACATCTATTTTCTCTTATTGGTTTTTACAATTCTTTAATTTTTAATTAAATGATGAGTATTTCTAAATGTTAATATTTTTATTATTTTACATAATCATAACTTGTTTAATAATTAAAATACCATAAAAATATAACGAGAGAACAGAGATAATGCTATTATCTTTAAGTTTGATAATAGGTTATATTTTAATCCTAATCTTTAAGTTAAATACACAAAATTGAAACTTTAAAACATATTTTTTAGAATTGTATGCATTAGTTAGACAGAGTCTAAACATGCGGATATGACATCTCTCAAGATGACCCACAAAGTGGAATACAGTGAATTAAGTTCTCAATTATTCTTGTTTATTTATAGAATTATAATAATAATAATTATTATTATTTAATTCTGAAGTATGTAGGTAATATTTTATTATTGTATTCAAAAGTATTTTAATTTTTATTAACATTCTTTAAAATAAAATTTCTGGTTCTTTTGAATATTTTTAAGTGATCTCACTATCTCAAGTATATCTTTAGGTTATATCTTAGTTCTTTGCTATTTTCTCTTTTTGTAAACTTCCATAATCTCCCATTAACTTACACAAGTAAAATTTTTGTTATTTGTCTATAAATAAATTTAATGTATCATCAGATTCAAGAATGAGTTAAATATTTTTAATGATTTTTATACTTATTTCTCTAAACATAACTAAATGTAATGTAAAATCTTTTATTTGATTATAAATTTTCATCCTAAGTATATCACTTGTTTACTTAAACCTATCATTTACTCATTTTTATTCTAGTTATTGTAAATATTTTTTTAGTTAATTTTGTTGTAACGTTAACAAAATAATTTGTCTACCAAGAATAAATTATTGAAATAATAATCATAATAATCATTTAATAATTAAAATTAGAGTTTTTAGTGTATCATTATTTTTATTCTTCATTTCTAGGAGGAATTTCAACAAATATCAATGCAATTGATCAATGAACAAACTGATGCAACGGTCAGGGATAGATTGCATAATGCTTTTACCTTGTTAACAACTGGAATTGATTTCAATGGTCAACATGCTATGAAATGTCGTTTTAAAAATAATTTTGATAGTTTCACAACAAATATACGAGGGTTCCTATTTATTAAATAATAGAAATAGCGAAGTAATTAAAAATATTTATTAGTTTGTTTTAATATTTTAAGGATATTGTTAAAATTAAACTTAAAAATTGAATTATACTGTGAAATTTTGAAATACATTAAAATTGTTCTATCTATAATAACAAATTTTAACAAATGATTTTGTTTATACTTTAATTTTAAAACATATTTTCATAATTAGTTGTGCTATAACACTTTTAATATTATTATTATTGTATAAAAAACATAAACAAAAATAAATCTTATAAATTAATTTTTTTTTACTAACATATTTGTTAATAAAATAAAATTTTTAATTTTTGATAGTTTTTTACTAATTTGATAATTTTTTTCTTTTTTGATAAACAATATAATTTTTATTTCATATCAAATATATTTTTGGTGAACTTAGTTAAATAATTATCAAATTGATTAGTATATAGATAAATAATATATAGTCTGTTCACATCCTCAATCATGGTCTATGGTGAGAAATTATTTTCTATCTGGTTCAGGGCATTAGTCTATCTATATACTTCTACATTGTATAATCTTATTTAATATATTTGTAAAATGTACCAAATTCGTTTGGAGCTATAGACTATAGCACTATATAAAAACAATATTTAGTGATCAATAACTATGTCTATGAATACAACCATTAAAATCTATGTGTCTAGAGTATTACATTGAGTGATAAAAAAATACTACATGTATTTAATCCAATCTAATGATGATTATTATAGTTGTGAGAGTATGGTTTTCTTTCAGAAATAGTAGTTCCAAAAAAAAAAAAAAATTGTATGATTTAGTAAACAAATGTATAAAAATCAAAAGTCAAAACGTTATAATACTCTAATATATATCTAAGAATTTAATATTCCATTTATCTACAATCTACATAATATATAACATGCAAGTAAGTAGAAAAATTAGTAATGTGAATAATCGAGCTAAAATAATCGAATGATTTACTATATTATCTTGGAACTAATGGTAATAATTGAATAATTATAAATACTTGTTAATTAATATTATTTTTTTTAAATATGGTAGATTGAACTAATTTTTATACATGGCTTAGGTTTTTTTTTTTTGTTGATATAAAATAGTTCAATTTTTTCGTTACAAATAGAAAAATAAAAAGTAACTAATAACAATTCAGGTATAATACAATATCTTTAGAAATATAGGCTGCCATTCAACAATCTTCGCTTAGAATGATTCATCATGAAAGAAATATTAAGTTTTTGATTTAGGTATCATTGAATTTAAATTTAATTTGTTCATTTAGCAATAGTTAAGTTAATGGGAGGAGAGGGTACATAGAGTGTATTCACTTCTAGTTTTTATTTTTTTAGTATGTTCTTCTAGCGTAAGATGGTATATTCCATTTAGCGTGTATAGTGTATACAGATATATTATGTGAATGTGCACTTATTAGAACTTTTAATGATGAAAATAGAATATTCTATTATTATTTATAATTTTCAATTCTTAAATGGTCTTCATTAGATATTGTGTAATTATTAAAGAGTATTTTGATGACCTACCTACCTTTAAGTTCATATCGTTTATGGGTATATTGCTAGGTATTTTACTTAATGTGATTTATATCTAGTGATTGAACTGGGGAAAGTTAAGTATAGAGGAGTTCAATTCAACAGTTTAAAAATTGCGTTCCAAATGCAAAACAATTTTATACAGACCCAATTCGAACTCTTCCTATAACAATTTTTATATTATTTTTTTTTAATTTAAATTTTCAAAAATGTTAAGTATCACTAATGTGTATTTTTTTTCCTTTCAAGTTTTTCATTGAATTTTTATGATTTTTGTTTGGAAAAGTATTAAAATTGATATCTACAGTAGAATTTAGCATTTATGCTTATTTGATAATCGTAATAAGATTTTTAAGGAAATAATGATTTTGAATAAAGCAAAACACATTTTTTTTTTTTGACTTAATGATGAGGTTTTTTACCATTGATGCAATTGATTTTAGTCTATAGAATAGACTATTTCTATTCTATTCTATAATCAATAATTGATAACCACTTGCGTAGAAATATGTATACCCGCGAATATTTTTAACTGGGCATTAATCATTATGTACTATTAACTCAATGTATATATTTTTAATAAAGTCTTTTATAGGTACGTAATGTACCTACTTAGTTGTCGCAGTTATAATTTATGTATTTTACCTATCGATTATCGATAGTTATTCACTTTTTGGTAAATATTATTTCGTCTAAATATATTAATTTGTTCCGTGGTGTTGTAGACGCGTGTAATCAACTTAATTTTAAACGATGTTTTATATTGTCTACATAGGAAATACTAAATATTTACAAAATAAAATAATTTTTATTGTAGGTACTAGGTACATACGAAACCGACAAAGCTTGTCGACTGAAACCGGCTTGAGATAAATGACAGTTGATTTTATCGATATCCATTAATCAAAAAAAAAAAAAAACTTATACATATTATATAGGTACCTACCTATATATATTATTTTATATTCGTTGATCTATTGCTTTTAGTATTCTGTATTATTATGTATAATACATAAGCATCAGGTATTTAGCTAATGCGTTTAAGGCGCGTATTTGCTATATCATAATAATATAATATAATTAATATCTACTTATTATACACTACATTTTTGTTTTGTTTTAATTTTTAAATAATGCATTGTATAAAGTGATATATAGGTACTATATACCAACTAAGTATAAAGTATTTTGTAACACACTCGAGGGCATAATAGAAAATGTTTGAAATCATTGAAATTTAGGTACCTACCGGTTGTCGTCGTTATAGATAATTACGATCTATACAATATTATAATTCATTATTCGTAAGTACACGCATTTAACAATATTAATAAATGTATAAACTCACCGACTAACCTGTCTGAAACATCGGCGTATCTTGAATTATCTCCTGAAGTATTTGAATCTCCTTTAAAAATACGTCACAAATAATATTATAAATTATAATGGTTGATGAATAATGATGAATTGATAAAACAATTTGAGTACTCATATTCCGCGTATTTAAGATATTACCTATTTCAAACATTGAAGACGAGATATCCTAGAAATTAAAATATGGGTAAATTTTCTCGAAAATACCAGAAAGAAAAAAAATGAAGACTTTTTATGATTTCAGGTACCTATACACCAAAAAGAAATAACATTTATTTTGATATACTGTGTACCTACTAAAGTACTAAGTAATTTATATAGGTAAAAATATAAAATAATAAGAATAAAACTTTAAAAATAAGAACCTATATAATTATGTAGACGATTTACGCATACATGCTATCACTGATTATTATTAATATACTACTTACTATAGTTTATTTATAATTTATAGTTAATGATATTATTATTAATGTTATATGTACCTACTAAGGTATTCAATCGCGTTAAAATAAAACTCAAATAGGTAAAAAAGTATTTAAAAATCGTTATAATCACATATAAACATGTAAAACCGACAATATCTTTAAACATAGGTACCAAGGTACTATTTATACAATACAGATAAACATATATTATATAGGTAACGAGATTTGTGTGTTTGTGCAAAGTATATCAAAGAAAATTATTATTTACTTATTCAGAGCCGGTTTTAGGTATAGCGAGGCCTGATCATTTTTTTTTAAATGAGGCCTCTATATTTAATATCATTTTTTTTAATGTGAGACCTAAAGTGTCGTTGTCGTACAAAAGTACGAGGCCCAGGACAAGAGCTCTGCTGGCCTCTACCAACCCCTGGCCGCTGGTTCTGTACTTACTATTAGCAGTTTGCAGACGTTTTTCCATACAATGCATTTTGTTGAGGTGCAGTTTGAAACTATACATAGGTAGTCGTCTTATTATATTTTTACTCGCTTGCTTATAATGACGCAACAGTGTAAAAATATAGTATACTATTTTATATTGGTATGTATATACTATATTTATATATAATTTTTTGTACTCTTGATCGTTTAAAAGTAAATAAGTATTCTTGTCTACGATCGGTTTTAATTTTAAAATGTTCGTTTTACCGGAATTTTGTTGCATTGTATTACACTGTACGCTCTTAAAAACGTTAAAGCAAATAAGGGTTGAATGAAAATTACTGAGAACTGGATGGCGCAATGGCTACCATTATCGTTTTTTCAAATCTTACTTAGAATGTAATTTAAATATAATATTACGATAAAACATTTAAAAAGAAGTCAGAATAGCAACATTGTGCTCTTCAAATCCAATATTGCATAAAAAATCTATTTAAATAGATATAACTGGGTGAGTAAAAAAAAAATTAACAATGGATTATCGAGTATTGGGATTTAAGAAAGCGTTCATTAATATTTTTCAGTTTTTAAAGTTTATGCGATTTACTAAAAAAGTAATGATTTGTATAAATCAATTTTTACACCAATATCTTGAATGTTAAAAAATAATAAAAATTGAGTTTACAGTGTTTTCAATTTTAAGCCTAATACAATCCGAGGAATATTGTACCGGGGAAGGATTCTCGATTGTAGCGTGCCTAGTGGACGTTTTGACGCAGGGACTCTAAAACACGTGTCAAACAAAGCGTGACAAATTAAAATTAATTACTCATTGGTGTATCTATAATTCATTTTTTAGAAGGAAAAAAACTATGGATGTATAAAATATTTTGTGTAGGTATAGAACTAAATAATGCAGTAATGATTTTGTTTGCGACCACTTATTGTTTCGTAGAACTTCCGGCGTACCGTCGAGGGCTACTTTTCGTTAAAACGACTGTAGTCAAATCATAACCTCTTACAATATAATATTCATGAGAAATTTTTACCTAGACTCATATAATCCTAAGAAATTTAGGTAGACACTTATAAATTACTTAGGATATTTTTACTGGGGGTTAAGATTATTCGGCTATTTTGTTGTATGCGCTCTACCGGCGACATTACGACTGCAGTATACGCTCTACCGTTTTTACCACTCTAATTGTAAGTAATATAATTAATTATTTTTATTACACCATATATACATACACAGGTGA